TGCCACGCCCCCCTCCATACACACACACACAGGCGACAGGCGACAGGCGACAGAGAGAACCGGTTTGTGCCTCCAAGAGGCGAGAGAGCTGTCTGCCCCAATCCATCCATCCATCAGTTGGGGGTTTGCGTTTCCGTTTTCTTGGTTTCTGGAACTGGTTTCGCGGGTTCTTTGGATTCTGGAAAAACCTGAAGCAAAAGCCTGCGCCCCATGCGCCATGCCCCATGCCCCATGCCACATAGATCTGTGCTCCACATTTGAGAGGCCGATAATTACAGAGAGGGCGAAATGCCCATAGATCCATAAATCGAATGATAATCCATAAGAATTGAGAATGGCACAAAGGCCTGCCTTCTGGCATCTACTCCACCCATCAAAGATACTCTTTCGGCAGATACAAGATGCACACAAGTATCTTTTTGGGTTGGAAACGAGGAATATCTGTGGAGAGCCAGTAGAGGGGTAGCCCCTCTTCTGGTGGCTCTGCAGGGAGACTGATGGAGAGATCTCTAAGGAGGGAGCGGGGGGAATGCCCCAAATCGAAGGATAGGGTATCCAAGGGTGTCGCTGGGCCAGCAAATATTTCGATTTCCTTTGTTTTCTGGACTCACGCACGCCTTTCCCCACTCCGATTGTGTCTATCTGGCACTGCCACTTGGGCCATGAATCTCCCATTGGAACCATTGAATAATTTCCATTCTTTTCGTTCTGTTTGTCCTTCTTTGCCCTCCTCCTTTTCTTTCCTGCGTCCTTAAACGATTACGAAGGGCCATAATAAATAAATGTTTTGGCAATGAGACCCGCTCTCTCACACCCTCCCCTCAGACCATCCCCTCAGACCCTTCACACACCCTCACACACACACACACACAATCGCCCCGTGGGGCCAAAGTCAAGGCCAAGGAAATATTATTGAAAATGTAAATGAAAAATTCTGCCACACACACATGTGTATGTGGGTCCTAGGGCAAGGCCACACGACCTTTTCTTCAACCACACCCCCTACCCCTTGGAGACCTCCCCGAAACGGAAGGCGGAACGGAAGGACTCAAAAGATAAACAGCCTCCGATTGCGATTCTCTCTTTTTTATAGAACGGGCGTGGAGATGTGTGTGGGGGTGGAGGGGGGCATTTGTGTGCGGGGGAGGGGGGATGTATGTGCCTGTAATTGCATAAGTAAAGAGTCGGCGGGGGACGCGGAGCGAAGGCAAGGAGGGAATCACATCAGGGAGTACATTTTTTTCATATTTTTCATATGAGTTTCAGGATTTTAGGGGATTCATGCACCGCCGAGGGGCGGGATAAAGAAGCCAACCAGGGGGGGGCATAGCGATAATGTTTTACAAGAAAAGCAGGGCGGAACGGGAGGACAAATGAGGGGCAAGGAATGCAGAATGCAGTACAAATCTGGGCCTTGGAGTCTTGAGAAGGGTTTACCAACTCGCATTTCGGTGGTCAAGGGTCTCTTAAATGATTAATAATTTAATATCTAATTAAGTAGCGAATTGTAAGAGAATTTTGAGAGATATTTAGCGAAAAGAATAACGAGACTTGCTACACCCAGAGAAAAAAGGCACGATTCAACCAGATTTAAAAATCTGAAAAATTTATTTGCGCCGAGTCTGAAGAAAGAAAGTGCTTTCCCTTACACTTGACCATTAACTTCGTATTTAAATAAAATATAACCCACAAATTGAGGTTATTTTATTTATTTTCTTTGTATGTGAAACCCGAATATTTACTCTATTTTATCCGATTGTTCGGATGGGCATCCCAGGAATGGCATCCCATGAATCAATGCATAAATAGTGGAATCGGAGGTTTCTTTTGCATTGAACACACGATAGATCGATGGATAATGGTCTCAGATGGGAGATTTTTGGTCTGGATGCTCCAGGAAATAGAAACAGAAGGGAAAGATATCTGTTGCGTGCGAATGTCCCATTTCTATGGGAAGAATTAAAGATGGAATCCTGGGGACTCTGCCACATTTGGAGATCACTTTTGTGTGGCTTTTGTGGCCAATGGGCAATGGCCAATGGCCAATGAACTCCCGTCTATTGATACCGTATGTATGTGTCTCTGGAAATTACCGACTCCCACTTCAATTAAGAGAATCCCCCATTTCCATTTCCATTTCCCCTTTCCCTCTGCCGTTCCATGGAAATTGCAGTTTCAATTGCAGTCCCCGCATATCGCTATCGCTTGTGCACCATTCTGCTGAACGTTGAACGTTGAATGTTGAATGTTGAATGTTGAATGCCTCATCATTAATTAAACACTTAATTAAAACTGCAGCAAATGTCGAACCCACACATGTGGTAGCACCAAAGTGAGACGCCAGCAGGCAGGAGGGGCAGCGGCAGCCATCACAGGGCATTGAAAATTAATTAGATGTCATCGCTTTCAACAGAGCTTCCCCCCTTCGCCGCCCCCCGCCGAAAAACAATCGACTGAATGAACACTGGAGGGAAATAGATTTTCCCCCAACCGAAAAATAAAAAAAAAACCCACAAAAACAGCAATCGACAAAACGAGAAACGAGAAACCCGAACGCCCCACCGCCCTACCAAACGCCCCCCCTCCCGAAGGCCCCACCGAAGGCCCCACCGAAGGCCCCGCCCGCCCGATGATAATCGTGTTAATAATCATTTGAAATTAACGCAAAAAACTTTCCATTTTTCAATGCGATTTTCCACGCAACAAGAAGAGAAAATGGCGCGCACGGAGGAGCAGGGAACGGGGTAGATGGTGGCATCATGATATAGGGATCATCATCATCATATACCGCGCTATATGTGTGTACATGAGGACGTATCGATATAACAATGGCTGGAGGGAGGGATAATGCTAATGAATGCAATTGAATGAAATCGTATGGAATGGAATGAACATGAAGTAGAACGTGGAATGTGTCTGAATCGGATGGGGAATGAGCGAACGATGATTGATACAAGGATCTAAGGGCAAAATGAACGGGATTGGAATGAAGTAGAACAATGGAATAAGCGGATACTGCTTCGGAACGCTGGAATTGCAATCGAACCAGCCTGGGGAATGGTGGAATGGAAAGCAATAAGGAATCGTGAGTGCAACGATGGATGATAGAATGACCCGAAAAGCGTATCCATATGGATTCGTGACACAGGATTTGATTTGACTGGAAATGCATATGAACGGAATGGATCGGTATTGAAATGGAACGAAATGAAAGCCTTTGCACGTGCCTCTGTGTCTGACCAAATGTGTAATGTTCCACTGAATAGCCAGATATCAACGTCCCCCCCTACCCCTTTTTGTTCCATTTCCAACGTTCTTCTGCTTATCTGTTTCCTTTCCATCGTTCGGTTGTTCAACGCGTCTGTTTCGTATCTTTCCTTGTCCAATTCCATCGTTCCCTCCGTACCGTTTCGCTATCAAAGGCCGACTGTGGTGTGAAATGAAAGCCTCTGCACGTGCCTCTGTGCCTGCTGTCCATTAAGGTGTTCCTCTGCGGAATGGGGCACCATTCAGGCGTTCCCCTGACCAAATGTGTAATGTGCCACTGAATAGCCAGATATCAACGTCCCCCCCTACCCCTTTTTGTTCCATTTCCAACGTTCTTCTGCTTATCTGTTTCCTTTCCATCGTTCGGTTGTTCAACGCGTCTGTTTCGTATCTTTCCTTGTCCAATTCCATCGTTCCCTCCGTACCGTTTCGCTATCAAAGGCCGACTGTGGTGTGAAATGAAAGCCTCTGCACGTGCCTCTGTGCCTGCTGTCCATTAAGGTGTTCCTCTGCGGAATGGGGCACCATTCAGGCGTTCCCCTGACCAAATGTGTAATGTGCCACTGAATAGCCATATATCAACGTTCCTCCCCCGGTTTTTGTTCCATTTCAAACGTTCTTCTGCTGATATATTTCTTTTCCATCGTTCGGTTGTTCAACGCGTCTGTTTCGTTTCATTCCTTGTTCGATTCCATCGTTCCCTCCGTACCGTTTCGCCATCAAAAGCCAATTAGGAGTGGGTGCTCCTGTGCTCTTGGAGTGCGAATTTTCGGAATTAATTTTCGCTGCTGCATTAGAAACACAACAAAAAACAAACAAACAAAAAATGAGAAAGGAAAACAGCGAAAAAATGAAAATGCAATTTTCACTTTTTCCAAAACACAATAAACAACCCACGAATGCGAAATGTGTGAAGTGGAGTGGAGTGGAGGCCCAGTGGCTCCGCTGACTGACTGCCAGACCATGTATCTAGACATATGTATGTGCAGATACATCTCTGTGTGTGTGTGTGTGTGTGTGTGTGTGTATGGGATGCACGCTCTGCTAACAAACATTGCGCACACATAGAAAAAACAAAAAATAAAAATGAAAAGTCTCTCCCACCGCCACCGCCACCGCCATCGCCATCGCCATCTCCATCTCTGTGTGAAAATTGTGAAAAGCGTATTTGGAGCAGAAAATCTAATGTCTGGGCCTCCACGCCTCCCGCCTACCGCCCCTTCTCTCTTTTTTTCCGACTAGGATTTTTTTCGGGGCCGCATTTCGTTGCGCCGAGATAAGATTTCCCCATTCGTAGAATGATAAGATTTCGTCTGGAAATAGGCCTCTCAGCTGTCGTAGAAGCCCAAGGCCACGGGTTACCAGATGCCAGCGGATTAACGTGTGGCAGTATTTCCTGCAATGGATCCATCTTTGCTGCGGAGAGATCGCTTCCATCGCATTTCGAACGGAAAAATCCGCAGACGATAAGCAAAAACACCCGTGATATCTCTTATCTTTTGGGCCATCCATCCATCCATCCAGCGCGTCGTCTGGCGATTAGGGAGCCCCTAACATAACGTTCTGCGACCATGTTCCGCGATAAGCCGCGGCCCCACCCGCCCAGGGAGTTCTTGTAGTTCTTTGATTTTTTAGGGGGGGTGTCGGATTGATTCGCATTCCCCTCCAGTGGGCGGGAGGTGGTCTATCTGTTCTTTTAATGGTATCGATAATAACTATTGTTGTTCTTGCAGATCGGTGGGAGAACGAGCGAATCGGGCCCATTATCGAGGAACAGCAACCGGAGTCGTGTTGTGCACAAACTAATTGCAAGTAAGCCATCAACCACTGTAATTTCTAAATCTATGTATACCCCAGACGACATCGTCTGCGGCCGAGAAGGGGCCAACACCCCACCCCCCAAGAAAAGAGGCAACAACGGGCGCACATTCGATTCGATGTAAATCAGAGAGAGAAAAACACACGACAGCCAAGGCGATGGGCGCAATGGGCGACAGCTACAAAGTCCAAGCGACTAGAAACCCCTGCAAAAAGTCGTCTAACTTGTCAGATCGCGTGCCAAGAAATAATAATGAAGGAAAATACGAGTATCGCGTGTGTGTGTGTGTGTGTGTGTCGTGCAAAAACAACTGCGCCACTGCCCCACGAGAGGCAAGCAGTCAACACTTTATGCCACTAATAATCGTGGTACTCGCCCTCCCACTCCAGGCCTCCTCCTTCGTCTGGCTCGCAGTCTTCTGTGTCATGCGCCTGCGTGCCGTCTAATTGGCACGGAATGAGACTCCAATCGGTGGCAAGGGTGTGCCACAGATGTACATTGCACTTTCCGTGGCCTTCTTAGGGTCCACAAGACACAGGGCCTCACCGGGCAGCAGCTAACAAACAGAGGGGCACTTCTGCAAGGTGCGTGGCACAGGGGAAGCAAATACAGAGGTATTTGGGAGCATCCTTTTGCGATTATTTCAAAGCTCCACACAGAACGATACATTTTCCTCCTAATTTTTTGTGGCATTTTGCAACTCTTTTCGCTCCTCAATCTTTCAGCCATTCAACCATTCAACCATTCAATCGCTAACGAAGCCAATCGCTTAAGCCCTGTTCTCAAAAGTTTGGAGCTCTGCTCCAAAGGGAGACTGTATCTGTGTATCCGTGTATCCGTGTATCCGTGCTGCTATGTATCTGTATCTCAGCCTATTTGCAGTCACTCTCGGGGGAGCCTCCCGGAGGGTGGGGGAGGGCCCTAAGCCACTTTAAGCCAGTTCTGACTGCCTGCCCTCCCCCCGGCCCATCTATTGAGAGCTAATCAGGGGGGAAACCCTCGAAACTATACGGGCGAGTGTGCGCTGCATGCCACCTGAGTGTTGCGGCAGCAGCAGTCAACCAAAAAGCCATTGAAAAACCCCCAAAAACATGGAGAAGATAAGCCTCCGACGGGAGCAGCAGTCGGGCAGTCGGGCAGAAGGAAGGTAATTGCGGCCGCAGACAACATGCTAATTAAAAGCTACTCCGGCAGCCGCATTAATAAACACACAAAACACCGCAAAATCATGCGTCCTCGATGTCGCAGCTGTACCCTGCAATCGCAGCCCGGACTTAGAGGGTATATCCGTTGGAGAGTACCCGCGGGCGGGCAAGTGTGAAGATATGAGCCTGATTTTGAATAGGATTATAGATGAAGAGATTCCGAATCATGGAAATCGGTTGAACATATTCCAAATCATGAGAGTTTATAGATTTAAACCATCTAAAACACGTGATATGTTCCATGTTGGATGGAACCGTCCTCAAAGCAATTCTTCGATTCCAAAGCGGCAAAGTTTAAACAGCTGTGGCGTCTACGATTGTGAAGATATGAGCCTGGTATCTGGCAAGCTGCAAGAGATGTTTGATCTATAGATATAGTGCCCATCTGTGATGGAACAACCAATCAAGCGATTCCGTTTAAGGGGTCCTAGTCCTGCCCGTATTTTATGGAGCTGCAGATAAAGAAAACGCCCCATCAATCGACGAAGAAGAGAAGCTGCAGGGTATCCCTCTAACCTATTGCCGGCTTATGGCTGCTGTCTCTGGGGCTGCTCCTGCTCTTCGTGCTGCCCGGATTAATGGCGGAGCACACTACAGGGGCTGACAGGGGATGGCAGGGGCCAGGGGGCAGGCCGTGTCTCTGGTGCGGCGACATCGTTGAATGACAACAATTTGCATTTGTTTCATTTTCAAAAATGTTTCCGAGGTACAAACTGGTATTCATTCGACGGGGGACGGGGGACGGGTGACGGGGGACGGGGAGTGCCCCCCTGCCCTTCAACGATGGAACCGCAGACAGGACGAGGATTGGGGATTTAGGGATTGAGGAACGACGCTTCGGAGGATGATGGCTCTCCGGGTTCCGCCTGTTCGTGGCGTCATTAAAAACTGTCTTGATGGGTTTTGTGGTTTTGATTTCAATGCGTTGACGAGCCCTCCCTCCGTCCGTCTTCCTGTCTGTCTGTGGTCCTTTTGGGCTGCTGTGTTATTGTGTGTCCTGAGAGGAATCGACAGCTGTTGTTGCCTGCTCCCCGTTTCCCCCGTTCCGCCCGCCGACTGGGGAGGTCTCGAGTTAATTGATGGATCCAGCATCGAGTTAGCTAAAGCGGCTTTTCGCACACGGAAGCTCGGGAGTCCTGATGAGGAGCTCCTGTTCCTGGATTAAAGTACTCAATGGGTTCCTGGTTTTCCTGGCTCGGAAACCAGCGAATGGATCGGCACTGCACTGCGAACGGTGGAGCGGCACTCCCAAGAATCAAGATGTCCTTCCAGTAAGCCTTTAGGCATCCTTTGGCGTCCCCACTACCCTCCGCCCTTATTAGAAGTCCCCCCCCCTGTTCTGTTCTGTTCTGTTCTTTTGAGATTGTTGTGGGGGGGTAGGGGGGTGGCTGTCCATAAATTATGCAACATTTTTTGTGTGGCAGCTTCTTCTGCTTCGCGGGCTGGCAGGAGGTGGCAGGGGGGGGGGGGGCGGAGAAGTGTCAAAGCTTAAAATTTCTGTTTTTGGAAAAGGCAAAAACAGTGGGAAACCCGATACAGAACGCTGCAGCCGTGGACTCTGGGACTCTTAACACTTTTTTCAGAGTTCAAGTTTTCCCGCGCCCCACGTGCCCCACGTGCCCCACGCAGGGGTTTTTTTGACAGTCATAAATTTGCGTCCAGCTACGGATTCGACAGGAGGGAATGCAGCCACAACGGAAAAGGACCAAAAGGCGGACGGAACTGGAGGGAAGTGGAGGGGCATCTAAACTTTTGCCAAAGAAAAAGGCATGTCTGTGGCTGTGGCTGTAATGCTGGCCGAAATCTGTTCAGCGGAATGAAAACTTGCTCCCGTGTTGCATTTCGCCACAAAAGGAAGGACTTTCCTGGCGGGGGGGTGGGGGAAGAGATGTCCAGGGGCCGATCTTTCTCCCGACTTTCGAGGGTCCGTGAGCTCCCTGGTGGAACTCCTCCTTCCCCCTTCTCTGTGTAGTAATAATCGGTCGATCGGAGCCCGCCAATTACGAACGAAACGGATACCGATATCTATCGATACATTATCAATGTATATAGACATGTTATCGGTGTGCATGGATTTGTTATACGACAGGCAAGCGCCGATCCGTTAAGATCCATGCAGTCGTCCGTGGTCAGTGGCAGGGCGGCACTAGACACCCAAAGCATGACAAAATCAGTGCGGATTCATTGGGTTCCCAGCCACCGAGGCACCGAACGAAACGAGGCAGTGAACAGAAGAACTGAGAACGTGCCTGTCGCTATTAGAACACTGCTAAGCGATGGAAAGCAAAGACTGCCGTCCAGACTGTTGGCATCACCAATCGGGACAGCTGTAGGAAATTTGATGAGCCCTGGGGTCATCGAAACCCTGGAGGTGAGATGACCTGCAACCGGCCGGCCCTCTCACAGGGGGCCACCGGTCCTGGCCTCCAATCCGGATAACTAAGGGCCATATGGGCCTATGTATGGCCCCGCTATTTATCGATATGCAATGGCGATATTTTAGGAATGTATGGCGTTTTTTTTATCGAATGATTGCGGTCCGCGGACTATCGATAGTCTTTTCTTTCGTGGGAAATCACGCCCTCCCTTTAAGTCTTAAAGTGAGATATTTGCTTCTGATTTTGTTGGTCTAAATAATTACAAAATAAAATGCGTCGGATAATAAATCATTCGTTCATTTACATCGACCGGCTTATGTTTATTTACCATCGGTGTCCATTGATATGCTATCGGTATAAACTTATTTAGCGGCGATATACTATCGGCTTGTCGCGGGAATGCATAAGTAAACGGATTTTCCTCTGTCAATCCCTTCCGCCAATCCCCTGCGTCGTGATGCATTAAAGCCATGTGGCATGCGAGAGACGGATATGGCAACTCAATGTCGATATCATTTGCGTCTCCTCTCCATCCTTTGCGCGTTGCACGTGCATCATTTATTCAACGGCCCCAGACGGGACAGAGGAGAGGGGAGGAAACTCCTTGTCGTCTCCTTAGTGCCGTCGCTTCCTTAATACGTTTAAAAATAAGTACACAAGGCTCTCTCGCTCTCTGTCGACTCTGCCACTCCAGCGTTCAATGTTCCTGCCTCCTGCCGCCTGCCTCTTGCCTCTTGCCTCTTGCCTCTTCATTTCCTTTTGTGTGGCAAGTTGCTGTAACAGCAGCAACAGAGCTTGTTCTGTGTGTGGCATTGACTGCTTGAGTAATTGAAGCGCATCACAGTTCTGGCTAAAGGAGCTGTGGGGGGAGGGGGGAGGGGGGCTTGGATTGCCTGCTGCACTGACAGAAACTCCATGTATTTTAAGCGATGAAAATAATGAGCCGAGGAGTGGCTACTCTTTGGAACAGAATCTGTTTCCTCTATTAAGTTCTGGAGGACACCGACCCTCGAGTCCATGGATCATGGATGGATCATGGATTTATCGCAAGACGGATAATTTCCCTAAAAAATGATTTGCTTTTCATTTAATATTGCTTTAAAGCTGTTTTCTTGGTTTATTTATACAGCAATGTGTCAGAAATTCTCCAATATTCGATGGAATCACAAATAATTATTTTTTATTTTTAAATATTTTTTATTAATTTTTATTTATTATTTTATTTTATTTAGTTATTTTATTATTCTTATTTATTATAATTATTATATTTATTATAATTATTATATTTATTATTTTATTTAATTAAAAAAGAAAACACTTTATTTTATTATTATTTATTATTATATTACATTATTCATTATTATTTTTTATTATTAGTATTTATTTTTATTTTTACTATTACTATTATTATTATTTGATTTATTATTTTATTATTATTTTATTTTTAATTAAGAAAAATAATTTGGTGGTTGATTATTTTAAATTAACTAATAATAATTAATAATTAAGGTGATTTAATACACATACTTTTAAGGAATCATCGATAGAAGGAGGCTCTTTTGTAAGGCTCTTCGGAGCCTTTCGCTTATTGTATTTCTATAAAATGTGGCTCTTGAGCCCCCAAAATCTCTCAATTAAATATTCCCCTACCCCCTCGTTGCCTTTAAAGACGGCCACAAAATGTTGAATTATAAATGAAATTGTGTTGCTGATGGGTTGGACGGTTGAGTGGTTGAGTGGTTGGGTGGTCGGGTGGTGGCGTGGGTGGGTCAAATCACTCTGTGAATATTTCATTTTTCAGGTATTAAATATTTACCAGAACTAAACACACTAAAAACGCCCCAAAATAAATGTGTACAATATATGTATCCCCTACGCTTCAATGAGTCCTAAATGGGAAAAAGGATTTGGCATCACAATCGGAATCGGAATCGGAGTCGGAATCGGGATTGGAAATGGAATTGGAATTGGAGGCGCCTGTGCCCCGCCCTGCTGCGTTCCCGTGGAGCCTTTCAGCATCTGCTAGAGAGATTTTTTGTTGGAGAGTAAAGTATCCCCCACTCGGCACTCTCTGAATAGAGAACGTGCTTCTCTTTGCGTGGCCCCACTTGGTTTTTTATTGTTAACACTCTTTTCTGCCACATGGGGGCGGCCATAGGGTGTGGCATGCAACTCACAGTTGCAAATATGCAACAGAATCGGCAACGAAATGCGCTCAAGTCACATTGTTGCTGGCATTCAGAAATTGATTGGCCAACGGGAGGTGCGGGAGCCACAATGAATTCCGTGGGGGGGGGGAAAATCAGGCATAAACACACACAAAATTCCACTCGAGAGAAAAGGCCCGTCGATAAAGATGGAAATAGTTTTGAAGTCAAGCTAAATTATCCACCAAAAAGGATCCCAAAGTCGGATTTTAGTGGAACAAAGGAGAGATGGAGGGGCCATCCCGTTCCCAACGACAGCTCGAAAATATTATTATTTGTATATATATTTCAAGAATGTTCATGTCTCACTGTTATATCTTCACAGATACAAATGTATCTCGTTAGTTCTTGAAAAATCGCGGCCCATCGCGGGTTTGTGGCTTGAGCACGAGAAAGGAGCAAAGCGGGGCTCGGCTTGCCCCCCAGTGTAGGGGTGTACTGGACTTGTGGCGACAGTTTTCCGACCCCAAAAGGTATAAATACATATTCTTGTCTATATTTGTCTCTTTTACCCGCACTCGCCGTCGCAGAGAAACACGCTCGACGTGTGTCTCTCTCTCTCTCGCTCTCGTCGCTTTGGATCCACTCTGAGCGAGTCTCTCGCTCTCCCGCAAACGAGTGCAGCAGTTGGCTAGAGGAGATGCGATCAGTTCCTACTGATCACTGTACTCGACCGTGGGCCTTGCGGAGGTGCACACCCTTTTGGACCTCTTCTTACAGGAGGAAGGATTTCCAACCAAATGGATGTTTAGCCCTGGAGTTTTCGGTGTTTATTTGGGTCTACAGATATCAGGGCTTTTACTCCTGTCATCCATTCATGGATGCATCCTACTGCCTGTTGCATAGAGATGGCTATGGTAGCAGTGCAGTTTTCATGTTCATGTGTGAAGAAGACACAACAGAGGCAATACACTGAGCACAAATCGTATGAGCCTTTCCTCGCTTTCCTCTGCGGGAGTCCTTCGGAGTCCTTCGCTAAATATGAATATGAATCGAAATGTCTTTTATCTTTATTTTTATTTTATTAATTTTTTTGTATTTTTCTTTTATTCTTTGTTTTTTGGTTTTTTCTTTGCTTTAAAAAATATATAACTTCTGAACAGGAAAATTAACAATTAATATATTGAAAATCAACGAAATGGGGACCCGAAGCTGCTAATTCTCGCAGTCGGCGCGGGAGTCGTCGGCGCAACCGGCAGCACTGAGAAGGGTGTTCAGTGGGGCGATCCCCGACTCCTCCTCAGCCGCCGCCGCCACCGTCTCCTGTTGCAGGCAAGCCAGAGGCACCAGAAGCAGCAGCTGGTCAACGTCGGACTTCGGAATCGGTATCGAAAAGGTCGCCCAGCGAGCGATCTGTATCATCGCCTCTGGCAACAGCTGATTTCCAGATCTTTCCACTTCGATCTCCTTCTCTTCCTTCTTCTCGCAGCCTTGAGGCACCAAGGACTGCGTGCTCTCGAATATCGATTGTGGAGTGCCATCCCCTGGAGGGAGCACTATCGGGACCTGGGGCGTCATGGTCTTGACCTCCGTCTGTTCGGGGATATCCTGGTCTTCCTCATGGCCGCATTCTGGCGTCATAGGTTACAGCGTTAGACTTTGGATCAAGGGGAGCCCAAGGGGATGAAAGGCTTACCTGGCATCATCTCTGGCGGTGCCTCCTTCTCGACGGCTTTCTCCAGGAGGTCGGGCGACAATGAGGCAACCCGAGGGGAGTGGCAGACTGGAAAAAAGTGCTGCCTTGTCTCCTGTGGAGGCTGTGGAGGCTGCATCTGCGGTGCCTTCTGCACCTCCTTTTGACGGGGACAGTCCTGTTCTTCTGCTGGTGCACAGGTCTGTGCAGGCATGGTCTCGGGCTGTGGCTGGGAGATCGCCTGCTCCGCGTGCTCGATCTCGGAGCTCTCTGCTGGCATGATCTTTGCTTCGGCTTCGTCAGGATCCGGGATGTGGCTCTCTGGGAGAGGCTCCGTCAGGCAAACGCTATTGCCGGGAGGAGCCTCCAGTGCCGGCCAATCCTGAGAAGAGGTTTCCTGCCCCTTCTTTGGGCCAGTAGCCCCAAACGGGAAGAAAAACCTCTGGCCTCCGCGATGACCCGGAAGATCCATTGCAGGCTCAGCGGATCCCCGGCGGGGACTACGGCAGTATGGAAGGAACCTTATCCTTGTCTCCACTGGAGGCTTCTTCTTGCACCACTTCCGAGCCGCCTGGGTGGTGTTTGAACGAAGGACTCGGGGCACGACGCTGCAGGCAGAAACGTTCTCCGTCGGATTCTGCAGGGACTGCCCTTTGCCCGGCTTGGGTAGATGCTCCATGCTCGTCCCCTTCACCAGGGTCTGCGATTCCCGGCTCCTGAACCGCAGATAGCGGTTCAGCGGCAGGTCCTCGACCGCTATCACCTTCGGGACGGTCGCGGTGTCCGCGGTGACATGATAGATGTCCGCAAACTCTTGGAATGCCTTAAGAAACGCGCGCTTCAATTCCATAACTGATGTGCTGCCGCCATCGGGAGAATGGCTCTGGACTTGAACCCGCAGCCTGCGAAGATCGTCCAGGACTTCGAGGAGGACATCCGCTTCGGTGCGGGCTCCGCCGCTGGCCTCAATCTCCGCCTCCATTAGGTGCTCAAAGCACCAGAGGACGTCGAAGAAGCCCTGCTTCCGACGCTTGCGGCGTGCGTTGACCACTTCCACTTCGTCCTCGTGCGAGCTGGTCTCATCCAGGGCCTTCAGGTGGCTGCCAAGGACCTTCCGGAAGTCCTGTCGATTGAAGAGCTTCTGTAGCATGGACTCGGAGGCTTTCGGGCACAAATCCTCGCGTTGCAGCAGTGCCTCTTCAGCATTTGTGGCTGCCCCCAAGGGCTCTTCCTTCTCGGAGACGTCTTCAAACGGCTCAGGCTCGACCTCGTCCAGTTTTTCCATAGGGTGGTTGGGATCTTCCTTTGATAGCAGCTGCCGGAACTTTTCATCCAGCGCACGCAGTGCCTCTTCAGCAATTGTGGTTGGCGAAGGCTCTCCCAAGGACTCTTCGTTCTCGGAGACGTCGTCAAAAAACTCTGGCTCGACCTGGTCGTCCAGCTTTTCCATGGGGTGGTTGGGATCTTCCTTTGATAGCAGCTGCCACACCTTTTCATCCCACGAACGCGTATCCATCGTATCACAGGTTCCAATGCTGTCCGCGGTATCACAGTATCACAGAGTAACAGTCTCCCGTCTCCCGTCTCTGTTTCGGTTTCGGTTTCGGTTGCGGTTCCTGTTGCTTTTCCTTTTTTCGATCTCTGTCTCTGTTTGAGGAGCCTCTTTTTAGTTTTGTTGTAAACTGAAAAATGGGTCTGAACATGCCAAAAAGCAGACACAAAATGATACAGATACTATGCGGGGTTTTACTTTACAAATTTTCCCACAAGGGAATCGATTTTTTTGATGCGAACGAATGTCACAAAATATTACCCAAAGGAAGCGTTTCCGACCCCGAAAACTATATATGTTCCAGATCATTTGAAGCCATAAATGTCCCATTGGATCTTCTGGACCTGTTCTACAGAACGACGGGCGTCTAGTGTACTCTCTGGGGCAATCAGCAGCGGAAAAGAGCAAAGGACAAGCCAAAGGACAAGAGGTTGGGGCTCTTGAGGGGTCTCAGGTCTCAGGTCGCGTGTCGCCACTGTTTGAGTTGATTATAATGATAAAATCTAATTAAACAAGTTCTTAACTTCCAGGAGAGAGAAGTCAACTCAATTTACGAATGCCTCCAACCCCGTTCTTTGGTTCTTTGGCCTTTTCTTTCCCCTAAAAACTTAAACCAGAGACAACCCCATATACCCGTCCATTCTCCATTCTCCCTGCTCTCTGGGTCTCCTTCTCTCTCCCTGTCCCTCCGTCCCTCCGTCCGTCCGTCTGTCTGTCTGTCAGCACAAACATCTTAATTACCAACTTTTTGTAGCCCAAGACTCTTTGGCTCTCATCAATGGCCATAAAGAGCGGCCCGAAAGAGGGAGGAAGGCGAGGAGCAGCCAGTGGGGAGAAGGTGATGAAGGGGTGGTGGGGGATGGGGGGATGGGGGGATGGGAGAGAGAGTGGGCCATGGCTCTCGTTGGGTCAGTGGAGCGCTCCACTTTACATGTTTCGATGTCATCGCCTGCGTCTCAGTCGTCGACTAATTACGTTTCGTGCCCCTCCGACCCCTCTCCCCGCCAGTGGATGGATGGACAGGCGTCACCTAATGACCCAAAGCCGCCTACAATGGAAACCAAAAAGAGGGACAGACAAACAGAGAGTGAAAGAAACTGTGAAAGAGAAAAGATGGACAGAGAGAGAGGGCATATGTAGGTTGCTTTACGCACTTTTACTCCGCAGTCTCCTCCTCTCTCTACGGGGCTCCCTCTGCTCTCGTCTCAGAGTACATTTCTAATGACATGCGACATTACATTCGAGTGTCGAGGGGGGTAGGCTCGCCCTGTTGGTCAAACACACACAAAAAGATGGAGGAAAAGGGCAGGGTGCTCCTCCGTTGGGGAGGACCTAACGCATGAACGGCTCTTACAGAAAGATAACGAGCGGAGTGGCAGGAGCACGGCCTAGAACGGAGTTCTTTGATGATCCGAGAGATGCTCGCGTGAAGTCTAGAATTCCGATTAAGGCCCCACGAGAACAGGAGTACTTTGATCGGATAAAAGTGTGGGTTGCTTTCAGAATCGCCATAAAATACTACGAGTAAATGTTAGCAGTGCATCCGGGGAGGCCAGAGTAGAGCCTCTTGAGATGCCAGCACTCGCCAGAGTTCCTTCCTGTCGAGTCTTGCGGCAAAGGCAAATAGATGGCTAGAGCAAGGGATTTTCATTGATTCCTGACAGTAAATGCTAAGTATTGAATCGAAGATCGAAGAGACTGAGTATTCGAGTGGATCCATAGGGTATCTACGGAAGGACTTTCCTTGGCGGCCATCGACGGACAGTCCTTTGGCTTTTTTCTCTGCGTTAAGTATCCTGTAAATGTACTGTGAAAAAATTCCGAGAACAGAACTTCATTTATTTGTTCAATTTTCTTTGCGGGAGGCGCCACCGAGTGGCTGTGGCTGCTGCAAGCCCCACTTTATTTTCCGCTGTGGTTCCCCTGCTCCTCCTAATAGCTTTGAAATGAGTTTGGCGTTCCTCCCGTTGTTCCGTTCTGCTGTTTGTTTGCCTTCGGTTCTGTTTGGCCTTTCAGACGGACAGCTTTTGGAGCTCTCAAAATGCAATGGCGACGGCGACGGCGATGGCGATGGTCATGGACAAAATTCATTAAAAGAGCAGTCTTTTCCAAAATGCTTTGAGGATACGGTAGCCTAGTAGGTACAGTAGGTACAGGCCACAAGTCCACTTGGACTTTGAAATGTTTACCAATTTATTGGCCACGAGAGCCCTGAAATATGTTTCATAATTGAATGAATTATTTCCTTAAATTCGAATTAAATATAATTTCGGCAAGTCTAATGTATATTTATGTTTAAATCGAAGCGATTTTAAGTATGGGTACTCATGGTGTGGGCGGAGGAGGTGTTTTGCAAGGGAATTAAATTGGAATAGGGATCTTTTGGGGTTCTTTGGTGTTCTGCGAAATGAGAGCCCTGCCGATTGTCCACAGCGGTCCGGCAAAAGTTGTTCTGCTTGCAACATTAGCGGTTGCACGGTCCATATGCTGCTGCCTCCTGCCCCGCCTGCCCCCCCTGCCCCTCTGTTGCATAAGTGAAAACTTTTCAATCTGTGAATCAAAGCGGTTCCGGGGAGAGCGAGAGGAGGAGCGATGCGGAACTAGTTCCGGGAGCGGAAAGTGCAGCTTTTTGATTTCTGTTTCAATTGGTTTTTTGTAAAATGCAAAAAATACTTAAATGCCAAATGCCATTGCTCTTGAATGGAGAGTCCTTCTCTGGCTGCTCCCTGCTCCTCTCCAGTGTCCGATGTCCAGTGTCCAGTGTCCGATGTCCTGCTGTGGTCTGCTGCCTGCACATCCTGCACATCCCACTTTTTGTGGTCGTTTGAAGTTTTTATCCTTATTTATCTTCATAAAATATTCATGCACTTTCCACTTCTGTCTGTCTATCTGTCTGTCTGTCTCTGTGTGTCCGTGTGTTTGTGTGTCTGTGTGTGTGTGTGGAAAGCCACTTGAACTCCCAGGCAGTGGAAGCACTCAGCAGCAGGACTCTCCCTGCCTCCTGCCTCCTGCCGCCTGCCTCCTGCCTGTGTCTCTTCAGGTGAGTGCTTGCTGCCTCCTGGGGCTCTCTTCCCGGGCCACTCGTCTCTGCACTTTTCAATTAAAAATTGTTTTTCACTACATTTGAGTTGATTGATTTTTAATTGATTTCAATTCGAGCAAGCTCTGCCCCTCCCCCAATACCCAGGCGGGGGGCAGAAGGCAGGGCACGGGCACGGGCACGGTAGTGCCACAAGAAGCTTTTAAGAAGCAAGTCCCCAAGGAATGGAAAAGGAATCACGGAACGGGCAGAGCATTTGCATGGCCTTTCGGCATGCACTTTTCTCCGTCTGCGATCTCTTTCTGAGGGAAAACGAATGGAATTTACTTTCATTAAAACATGGATCTATTTTCCAAAAAGCCCCTGTAATCGATGGAACCCGAAGATTGGGGATCCCTCCCGGTATTCCAGGATCACCCTTTGGCCTCTTCCTTCTGCCAATATCTGAGGAAAGACTTCCCCGGGGTACATTTTTGCAGGGTACTTGCCACGGCGCTGCTCGGTGCTTTCCCCGGTCCCTTCCGACTGATTGTTTTTGCTTCTATTTATTTATTATTAACCAGGCAACCCGTTCGCCATGTGGAATATCCTTCCGCCAGGATGCAAATCGCATGAGCTTGCCGCATGCCCCGTGTCTGCGGCATCCATAAATTCTTAACAAGTGTTTGGTGGCATTTGAATACAAAATTGAAAACGAAATGAAATTTTAAAATTAAAAATTTAGAAACTAAAGTGGCATGCGGCATGCGGCATGCTGCAAGTGGTGGTGTCATGTGGCAAGTGCTGGAATGTTGTTAAGTGAATTTTAATTTCCCATTAACACAGGCCCCGCCCCCGTGGGGGAGGCGAGCGGAGGGCTCCCACCCCCCAAAAAAGGACAACAAAAAAGGGGTTGAAAGCGAAACAAAAGGCGACACAAAGCGACAAAAACTTGCTACAAAAGTTGAGGCAGAGTACCAGGAAGGACAAAAACAATAGCATGAGGACCGACGAGGATAATGTGTAACAGCCTGGCTTTTCCAGTCGAAAAACAACAACAGGAGGAGGAGCAGGAGGGGGTGGAAACCTGTCAGAAGAGTCCCAGATTCAGAGTCAAAGGCAGGGCGCCGATGGGCGTGGGAGGAGGCAAGAGCAAAACCCCTTCTTTTGTGTCTTTAAATATTATGGAAATATGGGAAGGGGGGGCATGCAACAAACTGTGCAGAAAAGGCTGGATGGAAATGGATTTTTGATCTGATGAATTTTCTCATTACATTAATTATACAATAAATATTTATAATTGTCATAGAAATCTGAAAGATCCTTGGATCCAAAGGAGGAAAGAAAGATCGACGGAAATCAGCAAAGAAATAACGAAAACAAGGATTTCCACAGCTCTAAGGATTCTCTTTCTTTGCCACTCTTCAAGATCTTTATTCAAAAAACATGTTTTTCCGACGTACTTGTTGGGGATATGTTTGTATATTCCCCAAGGCTCTGTCTGATAGTGGAATGGTATTTGAATGTAATCCCCATTTAATTACCATCTTTTCAGGGTTTTCTCTTTGGGGATGGCTCTTGAATAGATCATAGTTTGAAGATCCTTTGTATATATTACCTTTAAATATTACTGGCTCTCTTTTACAGAATTTGGGTCTGCCTTTGCATCTCTCTCCCCCCGGTCTTTCCTTCTAATCTCCAATAAATTTTCTAGCCAGAACCAGTCCCCCATTCCCATTCCCATTACCCTTCCCATTCCCTTTGTGGATGTGCCACTGCCACCTGTCGTATGAATGATATTCTCCTTACGATTTCCCTTGAAACTTTTTTTATGGGGCACAAGTTTTCCATGGGTGAGGCTTTGGGGAGGCTGGGGCGTTGTTTGTTACCTGAAAATGAATGGCACGACCTGTCGATATGTGTGCGTGTGCCCCAAAAACCTGTAACCTGCCTCAACCAATGCCTTCTGTCTGCTCCGGCCCCTTCTCCTACTCCTGCTCCTGCTCCTCGCTGATTTCCATCCATTTTTCCTCTTTACGACGTTAGATGAAGGGTATGATGGGATTTTTCCAAAATTATGCCATAGAAACGATTCCTTTTCGATCTTCTATACAGAGAGTACAGTTCCAGGGACATTTCCGCAAGAAAGGACCCAAAGCACGAGGAGAACAAGTGCCAGAAGAAGCAACAAAAACCTGATTTTCTAGGCATCGCCATTATCTCCCTGGAGAGCATTCCTTCTCCCTTCCAAAATAGGTACTCCTCGAATGAAGAAGAGCTCTCTATCACTCCTTAGAGGGTATCCCGATTGTCATGGCAGAGCCTTCGCCCTTCTCTCTCCGGTTTTTATTCTTTTGAATTATGGCAGAGCAAAGAGAGAGAGAGAGAACGACAGAGAGGGGGAGAGGGGGAGAAGGCAGAGGGGGGAGAAGGCAGAGTGGCTGGAGGAGTGAAAGTTATGGTCTACACATGTTGCTGTCGTCTAATGCCTGTTGTTGCTCCCTGTGCCCCATTCTGTTGCCTGCTTTTGTTGTTGGAATTTGTAAGTAAGAAAATTGTTTTTGAAATGGCTAACAAGCTATTAGCAAACAAACAAAGGGAGAACGACGATGATGATGCCCCCGACGATGTTTGGGCGATGTGTCGGGCCAGAGGCGAGGGGAGGAAGAGTGGCGGGGGAGGGGCTGGCAGATTCCTTGGGTCTTTGAGGGGATTGCCTCTTGGTTCCTTGCTGGCTCCAAAGTGACATTTAAGCGATTCATTCGATGGAGCATCAATCAGAGGATGGCTTTCTTCTATGGAATGATTTATGAGGATTCAAAAAAACTGCACACAAAAACTGAAGATGGAAAAAGTCTCAGGAAAGTCGAAAAGTAAATTGAAACTTGGATTCAAATTTCAAATAAAAGAGCCAAAAAGTTGAATAATTTTGTACATTTTGTACATTTTGTCCACACATTTTCCATATTTTTCTTTTTGGATTTTGTGGAATATATAGGTCCGTTCCACTGACCCTTTCACTCCCCCCGTTCAAGCCTCTTTCCCTTCCCCCTTCCCCCTTCTTTTCCTTTTTCCTTCGCTTCTTTATTCGATTTTTTCCTATTGGTAATTCAGAAAGAAAATATTAGAGGCCTCTGCGGACCCTTGGACCCCCCCTAACCCCATATGGCATACCTCTTGACCCACAAGCGCCCCCATCGCCCACACGCCTCTGCCTTTTCGCTGACCAAAAAAAAGAGCTAAAAACAAAAACACTTTTACCTTCAGCAGAAAGCGTCAGAAGGGCGATAGGGGGGTGTGGCAGGGGAAACAAATGACAACCCAAATTATTTTGACACCATTCCCGTAAATGCTTGCCACACTTGCCACACGAGAGGAGGGTGCGAGTGAGAGAGGGAGCGAGTGAAACAAAAGCAAAGCCAAAAACTCAAGTGGCGGCCCAAAAGAGGCGCCTAGACGGCCGTTGGAATGGGCAGAGGGGTAAGGGGGTGGGGGGGGGGGGGATACGAAGTAGTAGGACATGGGGTAGGTGGGCAACATATTGTGCCTCGTTGCATGCAACATGAGAACAACAATAACAGCAGAGGGAGATGCGAGACGCGACGGAGAGTGGGGGAAAGTGGCAGACAGACGGCGCAGACGATGGGGATTCCCATTTGGGTACGAATGCGTGGGGGCATTCGGGGACGGGGAGGACTACGGAACAAGGCGGGTGGAGCAGGCGGGTGGGGCTGTGGCAAGTTCGCGCTCTGTTGCAAATTGCCAGTTAAAATTTTGCTGACATTTCAGCAGCAGCCAAACGTCAAACCAGCCACCGGGGAGGCTGAGAGCGAATGGACAGAGAAGGAGATCGAGGGGAGTACGTGTGAGGGAGAGACGGGGCACAGTCGGATTTCGGTGTCTGCAAGTGTCAAAAGGCATTTTATGACATTCTAACATGCTTTGGGGGTGTGTGCTCTTGTGTGTCCTGTATCGATGAGTGCTATTATCGAACATGTTTATCGGCGAGAGCGGGAGTGTAGAAAGAGAGTGGAAAATATAGGAATCGCTGCACTTAATACCCTTAAATTTATTGAGACAGGCAGTGGGAGACATTCACGGATTGACACGGGTACCGGATGCTATGGAGGTGTGCAAACCGATAGGATGACATATTCGATAGTATTTGTATTCTTTTTTTAAATAAAAATAAACCCCTTATGGTCTCTGTATGGAACATTTTCGAAGCGAATCAATTGTATTCAACGAACGTGCGATTCTTTCTCTGAAGAAGAATCGCACCTCAATCGACCCCCAATCGCTGTTCAACACCAATCCGATATCTTCGTCTCAAAATTCATTCCGCGCTTGAGGCCTTCGGGGCCATGGGGGCGACCTTCAGTGTGCCACTCGTACGCGTATTTGTGTTTTGGGTAAATATTGACTCGAAGGTCCCCCTTTGCCCCCAAACGCCCAACGAATAATCGAAGCCAAATTGAAGACCAAACATTAACACGCGCCTGCCTTCGGTCCGCCTGCAGTCATTACCTCAAGCCACCCGCTCCACCGCTCCCCCGCTCCCACGCTCCCACGCCTGGCCATCCCGTCCCCTGCCGATGAGCCAAGGGCAAGCATTGCGTGGCGTCGCGACTCGCACTCGTGACTCGCGAGAGACGTATTTAATAAACTCTGAAAATGCGTGTCGCGCGAGGCGAAACGAAACCCCCAAATGGGACCCGAGACCGAGACCGAGCCCGAGCCCGAGCCACGAAGTGCAGCCCACGAGCTGCGGGCGGCGACCGAACTGCATTCAAATGAGAAGAGGGAGGAAAGAGAACGGTCCACACTCTCCGCGACCGCGATGAGAGGCCTCTTATCTCTAGTTCGAGTGCGAATGCGAGTGCGAGTATGTGTGTGTGTGTGTGTGTGTGCAAGGCACCAAACAATAACAAAAAACCCAAACAACGAACTGCAAAAACTAAAACAGCAGCAACAACAACAGCAAGAGTTTGTGGTGCCAGAAGAGCAAAGAGAGCCAAACAAAAATATATTATACGATTCAAGTACCGTTGCCGTAGAGTAGTCGTGGAATAGAAGGGGAGGCAAGAGCAGTAAAGTGTGATAAAATGTCATTGAAATGTCAAATAAATGAAAGAATGTCCAAAGAGTGGGGGGGAGGCGCAAGATCATTTCACTTTGGAGGCCTGCCTGCAGTTTTTAAAGCATTTAATGGCAAAATCAGCAGATTTTAGGAGAGAGATAGGGAGAGAGAGAACAGTTCAAAAAGAGCAGGAGGAACACAAATGGAGGCTTGTGTTAGAGAGAGAAAGAGCAAATGCTACGCAAATATGAGGACAAGGTGATGACATACTACTCCATCCAATTCAGAGTATAAATATACATACCTTGAGGAACAGCCTTGCAATGCATAATCCCTATTTCCCAATGGTCCCAATGGGTCCCATCCTAAGATCGCCATCCTGGAGCTCCTTCAAATTCAGTACCAATCTAGTGGGAGATTCATTCCACTGCTGTGAAGGGTAGAGACCTGAAAAGCTATCTTCAGTCCGGATGGATTAGGGAATGATATAAGGTCCCACCGTAAAGATATTCCCTGCATGGTTTTTCCCACACATCAAGGCACTCGATTGGTGGGCTGGAAATTCGATTCAGCACAGAAGTTATTTGAAAACACACTTGACACATTTGCCTTCTATGTCAAAACTCTATATTCCACGATAATTAATTTAATTCCTTCCAGAATCTTTCTTTGTGGCTTCGATCTATGTGTGGATTACCCATAGACTTGTAGCCTCTTGAGCCGATTCGCAGCGCTCTTATAACTTTAGAGGCATCTCAGGAGCAGGCTTTTCGATTCCCATCGCTAGGAATCGTTGCAGCAATCATCACTCTCGCAAAGAGTGGGGCACAGCCGTAATTATCACACCCCCCGCACTCCCCCTTCTGCTCGAGGAAAATCTCTGCTGGAAAATCTGTGTAAAATCTGATATCAACATGGAAACTGTCGGCCCGTCTCCGGTGTCAACCCTCGTCGCGTTGCCTGTTTCTGCCCCATTGAGTGGTACACAGAGTCAAGCCCCCTGCCGCATGCCTCATGCCGCATGCCACATGCCAGTGGCAGTGCCTCTCTGATGGCTTTGTTCTTTGTGTTGTCAAACTGTCAGGATGGCGATTTGCTGCCGCACAATTGATACATTGATAAATGATGTTCCCAGGAGGCAATCTCGCAGGATCTCCACCTCTTCTCCTCCTTCTACTGCTCGATTCATGCCACTTGGACGCTAATTTTGTGTGACAAACAATCCTCTCTCTCTCGCGCTCTCCCTCGCTGGGAACGTGAGACGATTTTCGATTGTGGGGCACGGACTTAATGGGGTTTTGTCATGCAAGAAGCACATTTGCTGCCGCATTCCTGTGGCAATTAAAAGGATATTAGTAGCCATGTAATATAACACCATGCCTTTTATTGAATATAACTATATTGATTACTGCTTTAGCGCTCAGCGACGGGGCCATCGGATGTAGGCCACGCCATCACGGAAGAGCATCCCATCGCGGTACATGCCCTGCAGCCGGAAAATGACCAACATCTGGTACTGGTACACCAGCGGCATCGTACCGAATCCCATATCTACCGGCGGATAATGGATAAAGCGCGCCTGCGTCTTCAGATAGGCCCGCATGGCCCTCTGCTCCTCCGTCTCAAAGGGGTCCGGTTGGGCAATCTCCACTCGGACCACAGCGCGTGGGCCATAGGGCACCACAGCGCTCCTGTAGGATGAAACGGGAAACGGGCGCGATTGTCAGAGAGTCCGGAAAGGGTTGCGGAAAGCGTTTGGCCGCTTGGGCGCTGGGGCGCTGGGGCGCTGGGGCGCTTGGGGCGCTTGGAGAGTCACCTGTACAGACGATTACGACGGCGCCGCATTACGAAATAGACAGCCAGCCCCAACGAGGATGTCACTAAGCCCACTATAAGGGTGTTCCACAGATCGCACATCTCACCACTGGCGAAAACACACAGGAAACTTGAAGTAAATTTTAACGAAATAATTCCCTCCGTTCGGGAGATATGGTTTGATGTTCGGACTCACGAAAAACAAAATCAAGTGGGAATTTAACAGAGAATAAGCCAAGGGAAGCGTTACAAGGCACACTTGTTTTTAGTTTTTGGCTCAACGATTGTTCGTCTATATATATTTTGTTTTTTACATGATTTGACTTTTATTTCATGACTTCCTTTGACCAAATAAAATATCGATATCACAGATATCGATAATATCGTGAATATCGTGGGGCGTGGGGCGAGTATTTCAGACGTGCTTTAATGTACTGCGAAGGAAAGGGCATCATCAGAATAACAAGCGTGGAACAAGTGGAAGATCCTTCAGAAAGAGACAACCCGAAAAATATAAGAATTTTCGAAGAGAAGGCCAGGCTTCGCCAGGGTATATTTTGGGCATCTCTTTGATGCCTCACGAATGGTATCAAATATATACGGTATTTATTAGGACATTATTACAAAAAAATCCATTGAAAAGTGTTCTCAAAGACACCGAAAAGCGTGCTTATCCATGGGTTATTGTGTGGGGCAATCTATGAGCAATGTATTAATGTCGTATTCAGTATACATATCCTAGGAATCTCTCCGCTTATATCTCGGATAGCGTTTGGGTATCTTCGAGGCACCTGCTGGAACTCTCTCGGGCATCGCCTCATCTGCGTTTAGTCCCAGAAGAGACACTCTTCCTCTCAGCGGAATCTCAGCAATTTGTAACAGCAGTGATGTGGGGATAGCACATAGGCCGGCCTCTAAAATTCGCGCAGTTCAAAGAGCTCTTTGGGTGGCTTTGGGATCCCAAAGTCACGGCCAGAGGCGGCCCCGGCGGCGGAGGCGGCGGCGGAGGCGGATGCGGAGGCAGGGCCAAAATATCTGTACAGATCTCGGAAATCTAAGAAAATTAAATGAGAAATAAGAGAGAAAAAACCCAGTGCCGCCGCAAGGCATCAACCTCGGCAATCGCCGCCGAGCACAAAAATCTCCGACGGCTATGAGGTTTTTGTTTTTGGTTTTGGTTTTGGTTTTGGGAGTTTCTTGAACTCTGGAGGCGGAAGTGCCCTGCCACTTATGACTCACAATTTGATGGATGTACAGATACAGATACAGCACGCAGCACACAGCGTACATGGAGGCACACAGATACGGGTTCAGGTACAAAAGATACAAATGAGACTTCGAGGGAGAGATAGAGAGAGAGAGAGAGATGCTCATACGCGTGTGGGGAGTACATTTAGAGGAGTGCTACGAGGATAGATATTCGGAGTGGAGATACAGATATAGACACAGCGACAGACGCTTCTGGTAGCCCCATCTGGCAGACACTTTTGGCAGCCACTGTGTGGGCGTCCCGCGCCGCACGCATCGGTATTCCATATTCCGATTTTTATTGGGAATCCGGTATTATGAATCTGAAATCTGAATCTCCCTCTACCTCTCTCTTTCGTTTCCTTGTCATAAATTCATTTGCAAGAGGCGCCCACGCGGCCCCTTGAGGGGCAGGAGGGAGGCCGAGAGCGGGGAAGTGGCAGAGGCTGTGGGCTGTGGGCTGTGTGGAGGGGTCGCCAGGCATTGACTGACAATCGCATTTAAATGTCAGAGGAACGGGAAACTATTTATAATTTCACACCTCGCAAATGATTTACGATCCGAAGGGGTCCCAGAGGGGCACAACGGGGTCCCGCCCCCTTCCTCATGTGGGTGTGGGTGTGGGTGTGGCCGTCTGTACGAGAGAGTTCTCACTGTTTTACTAGTGATAATTGTTTAAGGAAGTCAAATTGGAATGCACAGAGTTTCGGGGAAGGAGCGATGCAGAAAATGAGCTATGGATCCATCCGCAGAGGTCCCCATTGAGATGCACGACATTCGAGGGGTTTATTGTCCCCTAAAACTGCCACCTGACCCTTTGAAAATTCTTCCATTCTTCGGTTGCTCTGGGACTTGTCCCTGGAAGATTATTCTATGGTCTATCCATCGAAGGATGCATCTATCCTTTCCCTTAGGATCGTATAGATCGCATATTTCTAGACATACGATCTGGTGTTGCCTCTTGGTTCTTGCATGATGTCAGGCCGCAGGCCTCCCCTCACTCCACTCCACTCCACTCCACTCCACTCATCGATCGATCATTCGGTTCGTTCGACTATTCATCAGCTATTCATGAACCCGCCTTCCCTCTTCCCACCGACTCCTCCTCCTCCTCCGCTGAATGATGGCTTCTTTGGGCCTCAAAGCGCAATTAACAAAAGGCACAAAAACACAGAAAATACGAAAATGAAATACAGATTAATCCCCAAGCTCCGCCGACAGCCTGGGTGTATTATTTCTTCTTATTAATAAATTATTTATATAAACAATAAGCTGAGATTTGTTCTCGCTCTCTTCGGGGGATACGAGGGCGAGGGGGGATGAGGCGAGAGGGCACTCAAGCGGAAAGATCTCTCTGGGTCTCTTTGGCTCTAACAAGCCATGAAAATCGTCAAATAATTGAGCGACCAACGACGACCACCGAGCGACGATTCGCCGACTTCCGGATTCCGGACTCCGACGGAGAACAACGATGGGCCCCTGGCTCCAGCACTGGCTCTAGCGATGCGATCATCAGGTGGGGGATCCATCTATTGGGAGGCCGCATGGCAGATCGCGGGGTTGGGGGGGTTGGGGGGCACGGCACCGTTTTGGACATGATTTTGCGGATGAGCGAACGAGCGGCAATGAGCAAAAGTTATGCAAAACAATTTAGTTCTTTACGATCTGTACGATCCATCATAATTAAGCATGGGTTTTAATTTGTTATTTCTGATTTAGAAATTAATTGTAATTCGGAATTAAGTAAAAGAGGGTCAAAAAAGAGCCTAATGATTCTGTATATAATACCCAAAGGAATACTCTTTCATGGAGAATGTTTTGGGGGACTCCTTAGCCCAAAGGGAATGCCCAAGAGGTGCTCAAAAGAACGCCCCAAAGATGAGGCAGAAACTCGATACGCAATGCTGAAAAGTTGCCCCAAAAAATAACCAAAATGTACTCCAGCAATACCCCAGAAACTCTTCCTTTCATCCACTTTATACACACTAAAGATGGGTTGGAATACCTTTAGTATTAGATCTGTGGGATGCTCCACGTGCTGGGCACTTGGATACCTCCTTCTATCTCTGCGGATCGAAGACAGATCCTCTCGCTTCCTCGGAGATCTGGTGGCTCGGAGTCCACTTTGAATGTTCCGTTCTTGAATTTGCATTTGAATTGAATTCATATTTTTCTGGGCAATTAAATTGTGTGTTTGACCCATTTCCCTGGGCTCTGGTGGGAGCCTGCCACATGCGTCCACCCCCGCCTCCCGTGCCTCCCGTGCCTCCTGCTGTTTGCCTCGAAGACAAGCATAGGAAATGCCTTTTTGCAACTACAGGGGGGCAGGGGGGGGCGGAAGGTATGTGTGGCACTAGAGGAGGGGGTTTTCCTTTTGGGAAAACTCAAACAAAACATACCCCACCCCCCCAAAGGGAGTTCTCTTCTGTTTCTGTGTTCTCCGAGAGATCTCTCCGTGTCTGTGTGAATGTTGTCTGCAAATGAAAATGAAAATGAAAATGGAATTAAGCACACAAGCAGGCGAGGAGTAAGGAAAAGCATAAGTACACACAAGTATAGATACATACATAGATATATATATATATATATATATATATATTTTCGTGCACTTGAAGATACAAGCTACAAGGAAGAACAGTGAGGCAAGGAGGCAGGGAGGCCACGAGGAATGGGCGAGGCAGGCAACACAAACACACACAAAAAGTTCAAGTATCCCAGAAGTATGCGCCCTTCTCTAGAGCAAAAGATATTGGGAGAAAGTGAGTGCGAGAGAGATGCCCACCCAACCATGCACCATGCCTCCCTCTCCCGAGGTCGAAGTCAACTCTGAATGTGGCATTTTATATTGTTAAACCTTTCCCTTCTCCCCGTGCAGCATGCCCCCCATTCTTTGACTTGGGTTGGTCTCCTTTTTGGGGATACGGGATTCTCTTTTCTGTTTTTCATTCAAGCAATTGCATTCCTTGAATGGTTTCCTTCTGTCCGGCTATCATCCTCGGCTATCTTTTACTCGCTGAGAACGATAGAGCGGGGGCTGGGACTCTCGGGGCCTGTGATCGCAGGGCCCTCTCTTGGGGCGATCTCCTGCAAGAGAAGACGGTAAGAGACGGCGAATAAGTGATCTGTTTCTTCTTACAGTTTCCATGGAAGAGTTGCCTCAGTGATGCATAGCGCCCTTCTGTGTCCACTAGAACCGGACTCAACCTAGAATACCCGGGGTTCATCGTTCCACGTGAGTGGCTGCAGCTCGTCCAAGTGATCCAGGGGGCTGTGCTTGCGTCCCGCACTCTCTCTTTCTGCCTCTGTATCTCCCTGATGGCAGCATCCTTGAACGAGAGGAATGGGATGCTCATACGCGTTAGATACAAGTAATTATGATTGAAATTAAAGGGGAATGAGGCTGGTATTCTATCGTACGGCATCTGGCATTGTGCGTGCCGACAGGACCTTAATCATTGCAGAGCTCTCCCTTCCTTTTTGTATCGCTGTCGCTGTCCGTCTCTCCGTCTCTCTGTCTCTCTGTCTCTGTCATTCAGCGGGCGAATGTGTTTTGAATTATTGCCACGCTGTAAATTCAGCAAAAGGATGGTGGTGCCCGCTCGCTCCTGCCGCCTGCCGCCTGCCTCCTGCCTCCTGCTGCTGTTCCTCTCGCTCAAGTGAAAAAAGATTGCCCAAAACAAAAGGATATTGTGACAAGGATTTATTAGTGTGTCCTTCGGAGGGAAGAACAGCACACAGGACGACGGCAGACTGCAGTCTCGAACCCTCGTTGGGGCTGTTGCATTGTCTCCCGTTTTCCACCCCTGAAACCCTGCGACCGCCGCGTGTCAAAGTGCAATTATTGCACGTTCCTCGACTGCCGCCGCCTCGGAATCATCTCGGAATTTATGTGGCATTCAATCTGTTCTCGCTCTCCCGCTCTTTAAGGACTCCCTGAGCAGCAGCCTTTGGCAGGGGCTAGGGCTGCGGCAG